TAATGTGAAGTGAGTGATACAGATGAAAACAATAAAAAGCAAATAGTAAGCGGCAAGGTATGATAACTTTGAAAATATAAAGGCATTCAGAGTTTATTTAAGGAAATAACAGCCGGTTTTAAAACAATTTGAAACAAAGAAACTTTTGTACCGATATTCTTTTGTTTTCTTTTTGTTTTTGTTCTTTCTTTTTTCTCTCTCTCCCTCTTTCTCTCTCTCTCTCTTTTTTTTTTTTTTTATGCGTTAGTGACATTTAACAAGTTGTGGGCTTGGCTGAAGTTCTTGTTACTCACACAAGTATTAGGAAAGTTAATTAGTGTCTTCCTGTTTTTTGTTGTTATTTTTTTTAAGTTCCGTTTTAATTTTCATATTCATTTATTTATTTTATTTTATTTTATTATCATTATTTTTTTTTTTTTACTATAATCTTTCACCATTTTCTTTCATTTTTCTCTTTAATTCTACTATTCATATTCAGTTTTGATTATCATCAATTATCATCCTCTGTTTGCTTATTTTGATTTTCGTTTCTAATCTTTTTCCTCTCCACCATTTCCCTCTTTCTCTTCTCCATCCTTTCATCATCCTCCTCCTCCTCCTCATTTTCCCCCTATTCCTCCCTCGTCATTTTCTCTACCTTACTTCCCTCCGCACTCTTATAGAATCCAAATCCGGCGATCTATAATTTTGCAATCCAGACGCCATAATTCGCATTTGCATTCTCGTTGCAAACTGAACGACCTTCGCAAAGATATCATTTAACGCGACAGTTTTTGGGATTAAGTGAATTCCAGATTTTGGGCCAAATTTGCTTCCCTGTCACGTGTTTGGTCCTTGCATAATCAACAGGGTGTTGGTGTATGAAGGGTGTGTCAAAATGATGATAAAAATGATAGAAGATAAAAATAGGATTAAATAGATGGATAGATATGTAAATAGATGAATAGATAGATGAACAAATAAATCGATAGATGGATAGATAGATGAACAATAAATCGATAGATGAATAAATAAATAGATCGTTAAATAGTTAGATAGATAGATAAAGAGATTAGTTTTGATTAATAACAGTAATGGTGATAGTGATGTGTTGATGATGATTATGATGATGATGGTGGTAATAAGGATAATACTAATGATGATGTTAATGAAGATTAAGACGATGAAATGAAAATGAGGATGAGGGCAGTAATGAGTAATAAAAGTAATAATGATAATAATGATAATGAAAATATTGATTGAAGAATTACAATGATAATAAAAAATTACAACTATGGTATCAATCATTATCAAAAGTATAAAAATGACGACAATAACAATAATAATAACAGTAATAATAATCATAATAATAATAATTATATAATAATGATAATGATAATAATGATAATGATAATAATAGTAATGATGATAATAATAGTAATGATGATAATAATAGTAATGATGATAATAATAGTAATAACGATGATATAATAATAATAATGAAGATCAATATCATTATCATTATTGTTATAATGATGCTGCTGATACAACAACTACTACTGTTGCTATTAATAATGATAACAAAAATGATAATGATAGTAATTACCATTATTATTATTGTTATCATCATCATAAAATGGCGATAGCGATAATAATAATAATGGTAATAATAACAATTGCTATCAGTTTTATTATTACACCAATAACAATTATTATGATGATGACAAAAACAATTGTAATAATAATAACAAAAATAACAATGATTGCAAGAGTGACAAAATAATAACAATTAAGTTATAATAATAATTAAGATGATACTACTACTGATAATAATGATAAAGATAATAATGATAATAGAAATGGTAATTGTTATAATGATTGTAATAATCATGACGATAACAATGACATTAATAATGATAATAAAAATAATGATAATTCCAATGATGACAATAATGAAAAAAACGATGGCAAAAGTAATGATGATAATGAAAACGGTGATGATGATAATAGTGATAGTAATAATCATGGTAATGACAATAATGATAGTAAGAATCATAATTATAATAATCATAGTCATAGTGAAATCTGTAATAGCAATAGTAATGATAATAGGACCGATAACGATAATGATGAGGATAATAATGAAAAGGAAAACAGCGGATAGTGTTGATAATTATGATAACGATTTTATTGAGGATAATGATAATGAGGATAATGATAATGATAGTAATAACAGTTGATTGTATTCCTGTCCAATCTTGCCTCCTCCTCATTAGAATATTAGTATATCTATCTCCTATTCTTTATCGTTGTAGGGTACCTGTAAATCCATTACTTACATCGCGTTCCATTCGTTATGTCTGTCTGTATATATATATATATATATATATATATATATATATATATATATATATATTATATATATATATATATATATATATATAATATATATATATATATATATATATATATATATTATATATATATATATATATTGTGTGTGTGTGTGTGTGTGTGTGTGGTGTGTGTGTGTGTGTATAAATGTGTGTGTATATATGTTTATATACAAACTATTATCTACGTCTTATACTAAAAAAAAAGATATAGACTTCGATAGGTAAACATATATATATATGTGTGTGTGTGTGTGTCTGTGTGTGTGTGTGTGTGTATATATTATATATATATATATATATATATATAATATATATATTATATTATATACATACATGAATATATATATATATATATATATATTATATATATATATATATATACATACATACATATATATATATATATATATATATATATATATATATATATATATATATATATGTACATATATACAAAATATGTGTGTGGAATTCATGGTGAACAGATTGCAACAGGAACGACGAAGGGAAGGGCAAAGAAAACACACGAATATGCCGAAGGCCTTTTCACTATAGTGAAAAGGCTTTCGGCATATTCGTATGTTTTCTTGCCCTTCCCTTCGTTGTTCCTGTTGCATACATATGTGTGTGTGTGTGTGTGTGAACCGTATTCATGTTGACAAATGTAGAAAAGGTATGAATGAGAATGGATATCTTCACAATACAAGTATGTATTTGACCGGTTTCGATTCTATCTTCGTCAGAAATACATGTATCCTGACGAAGATAGAATCGAAACCGGTCAAATACATATCTTGTCTTGTGAAGATATCCATTCTCATTCATACCATTTCTACATTTGTCAACATGGATACGGTTCACATACACACACACACACACACATATGTATGTATATATATACATATATATATATATATATATATATATATATATATATATATA